ATGTTCTCCAGAGGAAGAGAAGAGGTTGGACTATTAAAAAGCTTTGTTCTTAAACCGACTGCTGCGCAATGAGTTTTGAGAACTATAAAGAAAAAGTGAGAAAAAGAGAGCAAAGAAAAAAATTTTCATTATTGTTTTTATACTTCTTCAATACTTACACATATGCATGTGAAAATGCCGGCAAACAAAATTGAAATCATATGCTTATTTACATGCAACGTATATATGTAGGTACATTTGTATATTTTGTACATAAAATCAATCGAAAGCATCACATGAATTATTATTATTTTCAATATTGTTCGAATTGACATTCCATTTTATATGGCAAATGGAAAACAAGTGAAATCGAAAAGTTTACATTTCTTTGTTATATTTTTTTACAATAGAAAAAACCTATCATTTATCCTTCAACGTTATGGACACACATGCTTGTGAGATGAGTTATTGATCGTTCACCCCATGATACAAAAATTCTATAAAGTGTATGTTTGCTAAGAAATGTTTGATATTGAGACTTATAAAATCGATTTCTCGGAAATTTCTTCTTCGATTGCTTAGCATGGCTTGCATCTCTAGGTATCAATATAACATTGATAATAGTGATTATAAAAAATATTAAAATTTTCCCCACACTTTTTATTTAAAAATGGTCGATTTTTTCAAGAGAAGTGGGTAGCAGGAAAAAGACGAAGCACATTTAATGTCAGATAGCTGTAAAGCCGACTGCCAAGAGAGAGAATGAAGCGATCTTTAAATTATTGTAGCATAGTTCACCCCATTGATTTTCTATTTTGTTTTAATCTATTTTATTTTTAAATGTAATTTATTTTTATTTAATTTTATTTTATATTTTATGAATTATTTAATTTTACTTTCTTTTATTTCATTTTATTTTGTTTTAGTTTACTTATTTGGCTTTTATTTATTTTATTTTGTTTTTATTAATTTTATTTTATTTTATTTTATTTTATTTTATTTTATTTTATTTTATTTTATTTTATTTTATTTTATTTTATTTTAATATTTTTATTTAATTTTTTATTACTTTATTTTATTTTTTTTAATTTACTTTATTATATAATTACTTTATTTAATTTTAATTTATTTGATTTTTATTTATTTAACTTAGTTTTTATATATCTTACTTTGTTTTAATATATTTTATTTTATGTTAATTTATTTCACTTTATTACACTTAATTTTTTATTTGATTCAATTTTTTTATTTTGTTATTTTTATTTTTATTTCATTATATTTTATTTTGTTTCACTTCAGTTTTTCATTTTATTCTGTTTAATTTTTTGCTTTACTTTATTTTTTTTTATTTCAATTAATTTTTTTTATTTTATGATTTTTTTTAATTTTTATTCTATTTTATTCAATTTTTTATGTATTTTTTAATTTTTTTTATTTTATTTTATTTTATTTTATTTTATTTTATTTTATTTTATTTTATTTTATTTTATTTTATTTTATTTTATTTTACTTTACTTTATTGTAATATTTTTATTTAATTTTTTATTACTTTATTTTATTTTTTTTAATTTACTTTATTATATAATTACTTTATTTAATTTTAATTTATTTGATTTTTATTTATTTAACTTAGTTTTTATATATCTTACTTTGTTTTAATATATTTTATTTTATGTTAATTTATTTCACTTTATTACACTTAATTTTTTATTTGATTCAATTTTTTTATTTTGTTATTTTTATTTTTATTTCATTATATTTTATTTTGTTTCACTTCAGTTTTTCATTTTATTCTGTTTAATTTTTTGCTTTACTTTATTTTTTTTTATTTCAATTAATTTTTTTTATTTTATGATTTTTTTTAATTTTTATTCTATTTTATTCAATTTTTTATGTATTTTTTAATTTTTTTTATTTTGCTAAATTTGGTTCATTTTAGTCATTTAATTTACTTTATTTTAGTTTATTTTATTTTATTTTATTTTGTTTTATTTCATTTTATTTTATTTTATGTTATTTCATTTTATTGTGTTTTATTTTATTTTATTTTATATTATTTTATTTTAATTTATTTTATTTTGTCTAGTTTCTTTTTTCTTTTCACGTAACACATTTTTATTGCCACCACTGTATTCACTATAATATATATGTATAATATAAGTTTCAGTGTACTCCAAATATTGTTTATGTAATAGTTTATATACATGCATACATATGTATGTATGTATACCGAATGACGTCCATAGCAAATATGTATCACGTGCTCTTATTTAAATTGAATTCCACTGAATGAATGGACGAATGATTGAATGAATTAATGAATGGTCATGATTAGCAGTTATGTCAAGGAGTCAAACCGGCCGAAGATTTGGTGAAATTTAATGGATTTCAAATATTCTGTTGTTTACTTTTTCTATTATAACCATTTCGTTTAATCTCTAGAAGTTTCCGAACGAGAGATCTCGTTGTGCTATTTATGAAATTTGCAAACACATAGCAGTAAACAATCAATTCTTCATTCGTGCAAGCAGGTGTAACTTAATGATATTTTCAAAAGCTGGCAAAATTTATTTTATTGTTAAATTTGTGTTTGTTTTACGATCTTAAATAGAATTGCTAAGCAAATATATGCACATACATATACCCTATAAAAACACATATATATGGGAAAAAATACATTTCTAAAAGCTTTTGCGAAGCGAAGAAAAATGTATAAGTAGCGCTGAGGTGAAAAAGCAGCTTACAATGGCACTGACTGGCGCCATACGTAAGCGGAATTTCGGCTGTCAGACATCAAATTAAACAGTCAATAAACAACCACAAAAAAAGAAAAATAACAACAGTCATAAAAGTCGACTGCCTTAACACTCCTAGACCTGGCGTCTCCCACGCGCTGTAAACCCCATAAGGGTGGTTATTAACCTTTTCTTGTGCCTCCGCTTTTTGTGTGGGCGTTGAGTATCCATTTTTAGTTTGTTAAATATAACTATTTTAAGGTCGCATTTTGTGCAAATAAAAAAAGCCATTAAACTTATTCGTTTAAAAATGGAAAAGTTAATAAAGCCATAAATCAATGCACTTCTGGACTTTAAGCAATTTTATGGAGTTTCATAACAAACGGAGTGAAAGTTGTACGTGCTTGAGCCTTTAATTTGGAGAACTAAAAAAATAAAAATAAATAATTTATTATTTGAACTTAAGCCTTAGAACCCTTATGGGACCCAGGTAGGTTTAAATTCGGATTGTGAGAGAGTTAAAGGAAACTATTGCCTGCCGAGTTTCCACCAGCGAACCAAGAATCATACATACGTCAGGAGAATATATATTTTTAATGTATTACGAATTTCCTTCGTCAGTTGGTGACATTTGCTACATCTCAGACTTCTGTGTGTGGTTCAGAGAAAAGATGGAAAAGTTCGTGAGAGAGTAAGGTTACTTTAAGAGCCTATTCCATATTGAAGGCGTAAAAAAATATTCAATTCGAGGTCAGACGAATGCAAATACATTTTCGATTAGGAATACGAACACGAATAAGAATACGAATGCAAATACGATTACGATTAGGAATACGAATAGAAATGAAGATACGAATACTATTTTAGAAATGATTACGAAATCGAATACGAATAAAGATGTGAGCACGAACGCAAATACGAATTCGAATGCAAATACGATTACGATTAGGAATACGAGAACGAATAAGAATTGGAAATACGAGTATGAATACGAATAGAAAGGAAAATGCGAATACTAGTTTGAAAACGAATGCGAATACGAATGCAAATACGAATACGAATGCGAATACGAATACGAATACGATTAGGAATACGAACTCGAATAAGAATACGAATGCAAATACGAATACGATTAGGAATACGAACAGAAATGAAAATACGAATACGAGTATGAATACGAATAGAAATGAAGATACGAATATTATTTTAGAAATGATTACGAAAACGAATACGAATATAGGTGCAAGCACGAACGCAAATACGATTACGATTAGGAATACGAGCACGAATAAGAATACGAATACGAGATGAATACGAACAGAAAAGAAAATACGGATACTACATTGTTTAAAAATGATTACGTATACAAATACAAAAACGAATTCGAAAGTGTATCCGAATAAACGTACGCGTCAAATACGAATATGAAATGCGAATACGAATACTAGTTTGAAGACGAATACGAATATGAATACGAACAAGAATGCAAATACGAATGCGAATGCTAATGCGAATATAAATACGAATACAAGAAGGAATAAGAATACGAATACGAATATGAATACGAATAGAAATGAAAATACGAATATAAATAAAATAACGAATACGAGTGCAAATAACGAATGCGAAAACCAATACAAATAGCATTACGAATTCATATATACTGCAAACAAGAAAACGAAAACGAGTACGGATGAAAATGTGAATACGAATACGAATGCGGGTATGATTGCCAATAAAAACACGAGAACGAGTACGAACGCAAATGCGAATACCAAAAGTTTTCTATATTTCCTTACTTTTAAACCTCTTATAGCTCTTATAGAAACTCAATCTTCCAAGTAAAATTTTTTTGCAATGGTGCAACTCGAAATGTGGAATAAGTGGGACTGAAAAACTTGTGTCGAGTGCACCTGGGAGTTGGAGAAAATTAGAACAAAGTTGTAAAGAAAAAGAAAACACTAAAATCTCCATGTATATGTGCAAGTTTAAGGAGTAGTTTTGAAAATTAGCTCGTTATCTACTGAACTAAAATAAAAATTATTGACCTTACATGGGTTTATGTGAAGAAAAAGGACTATTTTCAACAAATATTTTTTATATAAAACATAAAGTGCTTTGTTCCAACTATTTGCTGTCTTAAAGATATACATTGAAAATTTTTTTTTGAAATTTTTAAAAGAAAATAATCATAACATCACCATTGTGACGTCATTTCCGGTGACCGCTCGGTAAAGAGCTGCATCTGCGTTGATAATAGAACTCATTACGAGGTCATACGAAGTGAAAAACATAAACATCGTATTTTTGTTAAAACTATAAACTATAATTCAGACGAAGGAAAATGAAAAAATGTGAATTTAGAAAGTACAGAAATACAGCTTAATAACCGATGGTCAAAAATATAACACTAGCAGCAAAAATGTATTTTTGGAGTCCCCAGATCTAATTTACTGACCTCAGTACTTACATAAGTGCGCGAAAGAGTGAGGGAGAGACGTAAGCAGTTCGTTAGGAAAAGGAAGGAAAGGGAAGGAAGCAACGAAGATCCTTGACTCATATTTTAAAAATAAACCCTTATAACTTTAGATTCAACCCACATAACTCCCACTCTTGCACTGACACATACACACATTGACACCCACAGGCACATTGGTTGCAGCAAGTGAAGAGAAATAAATAAAATCGTAGAAATTTCTACAACCAAAGGAAATTCATTGCAATACTACAAGTGTTTGACGTTCAACTGGGCGTATGAGTATACTCACTTATGCATACTTGCACATATGTATGTATGTATGTATGTATGTATGCATAGTATACCACTAAATTGTTACTCATACGTCATGCCGTGCCGGCAGTTTGATTACAAGCGAGCGCATAATTCCACTAATGCGCGCATTTATCTCACTAATGATGGTTACACACGTACATATGCATCTAAATGCACACATACATACACATGCATGCATATTTGCATAAATTACATTTCTTTTAACTACTTTTTCGCAAATAAATTTAATCTGTATATTTTTCTTGTCTGTTTTTTTTTTTATTTCCATTCTCATTGCAGCTTTGCTAATTACTCAACAACTTTGTAGATGCATACATACATATGTTCGCCCTCCTGCCTGCCAGCCTGCCAGTTTGCCTACAAGTAAACAAGACAAGAAAATAAGCCAACAAGCAAACAACTACACAAATGATATAAATAGTCGACAAATAGCTACAACAACAACAACAACAACAACGAGCGAGTTAGAAGAAACTTTTCAATCAATTCAATTCAATCAACAATTCAATCAACAATTCATTTATTCAACACCAGCAGACGATCAACGGCTTTGTGTCAGCTCTATCGTCCATACGCCGGCATATTCCTACGTGCATACATATTTACACAGTTTTTTGCGTATATATATATAAATTGTTGTTGGATTTCATTTTTCGTACTTGATTTAGTCCAGTACGAGTATCTTTGACTTAGACGCATTAGCTTGTTGCTTGTTTGTGAATTGAGTGCAGTTTAAACGTGCAATGGCAACATGGATAACGAGCAGCCACATCAGGAATTAGTCAAGTGCGTTTTGGTTGGTGACACTGCCGTGGGGAAGACACGTTTGATATGCGCACGCGCATGCAATAAACATGTTTCGCTGTCACAGTTGCTCTCGACACATGTGCCCACTGTTTGGGCCATCGATCAGTATAGGATTTATAAGGATGTAAGTATATATGTCAATATATTTATATATAGTTATGTACTAAATTGAGTTTATAGATGCGTAAACATAATAACTAAAGTTCCGCTGCTTTGCTGAAATGCTCAAAATTTCGATTTGAGTAAAACAAGAAAGAAGAGCTGCAAAGTTGGTGGGAGGTATGATTTCTGACCCAAAAACTCATATCTGAACAAATCGATTGTATGGTGGCTATATGATATAGTCGTCTGATTTCAATGATTTTTGTTGGCAGTATTTATATGTGTATAGGTGTATAGATTACCAAATTTCATACTTTTAGATACTTTTTTAACGGATTTTTGACCCAAAAACTCATATCTGAACAAATCGGTTGTATGGTGGCTATATGATATAGTCGTCTAATTTCAATGATTTTCGTTGACAGTATTTATATGTGTAAAGGTGTATAGATTACCAAAATTCATACTTTTAGATACTTTTTTTACGGATTTTCAACCCGAAAACTCATATCTGAACAAATCGGTTGTATGGTGGCTATATGATATAGTCGTCTGATTTCAATGATTTTTGTTGACAATATTTATATGTGTAAAGGTGTATACATTACCAAATTTCATACTTTTAAATCCTTTTTTGACGGATTTTTGACCCAAAATCTCATATCTGAACAAATCGGTTGTATGGTGGTTATAAGATATAGTCGTCTGGTTTCGATAATTTTTAGCACCAATGTGTTATCCATCATATGAGTGGAGAATTCTAAGTTTCATGCTCTTAGATACACATTTGACAAATTTACTGGTCAAAATCTCAAATCAAAACCGGTCATACGAGTATATATACTATCGAAATCCTATCTGACCAGTTCCCACAAATGTTCGTTTAAATTTACAATTACATCTGTAAATTTAGTTAAAATATCTCAAAAACTGAGATTTTCGTACAAGCAGATGGAGAGACGGGCATGGCTAAATATACTCAACTCGTCATTCTAATCCGAGTGGCATAAATTTTGATGGCTTTATTCCTTCTCCATTCAAATACATGAAAGATATAATAATGTGGTTTAGTCGAGAAGAGGCTTTGGTTGGTGGCTGGTTGGTTGAAGTTGAGGACTTAAAACCATTGAACAGGCTTATTAACTCAACTATGTTGCCTAAGTTTGAGGATTAGGAGGAGACGAAGTTTAGGAGTTGTATGGTGAGGTCCGTTTCAAAATTTAAAGATGTGTAACTACCATATTTTGCGGGCGGAATTTATCGGATTCAAAAAGTGTTGAAGCGAAAGAGATATATATACATATATATGCTCCAAGAAACTGACATCTATAAGCCACGCCTGGTGCTGGTAAACATCTAGATTTGTTATATGACAAGGTTAAGTTACACTAACCGGCTGATGCCTCTTACATAGGGGGGTTGGTCCTTTGTAGTGTCCGTATTCGTATTTCACGAAGTGAAGAGCATTCAATTTGAAGCCTTATCTTGGTTTTTTAAAGGCAGAGCTCCGAGGTGCTCTCTTAACTGCACCTTGTATGAGGAAGCCAGTAGGTTTAGGCCCCGCATTAGGCCAAAACTGTCCGGCATTCCTTACGTTAACGTGTAAGCTGCTATCGCACTTGATCTTTGTAGTTCTGCATGTCGCTAATGCGTTGCATTTCAATCTAATCCGTCACCCCGAGTTCTTTTGGAAAATTCCTCAAACAGCATTTTAGGATCTAGAGCTTAAAAGAATTTAATTTTCCCATTCGGTCCTCTCAGCCACTTTTTTAGCAATCAAATTAGCAGGACTGAGAGTAAAGTCGGTAAAGCTTTTCTCCTGCACTGCTCTTCGACTGGTGGTGGCCGGATCTTGGCGTAGAGATAGCAATCGTCCGTTTCAGCTGGCTTCATAGTTCTCTACATATGGCCTTTCACTGGTGTTTAGTTATCACATTTCGCTATAAGATCTCTGTGCCAATTGAGAGTCTACGCAAGACTCACGCAAATAGGTTTAACCACATTTTATATTCTGGATTCTGCAAAACTAAGTGCGATGTGCGGGTATTGTCTAAGGCCGCAAGAGCTTAACCAAAATTAAGTTTCATCGGCAAGTCTAAGCAAATTCGAAGTCCTCTTACTGATTTCTAGTTATCCCAATCAAATCGAGCTTCTCTTCCTCACGACATAGTATTTCGCAACCGAACAGTAGAAGGTTTGATAAAAGATTTTTTAAGTGAATTACAAAATGAAAGGACTCCGAAGAAGAAGTCAAATGTATAAGAATATGGATGAAGGATTTTTTGGGTATGAATAAATTTCGTCATAACAAACCCTCCCAAACAGAAGCATATCCTTAGTAAAACTATAATGTATTGATAACTATCGAATTTTTTTCATTTTTTTAAGGTACTCGAACGTTCTTGGGAGGTAGTGGACGGCGTGAATGTATCATTACGTTTATGGGACACATTTGGTGATCATGACAAGGATCGAAGATTCGCTTATGGACGGTGAGTTGAAAATAATGTGCTTAATTTTTATTTGCATAAACATTCTTTAATCTCTCTTATACACTCCTTCCTCCTTTCAGATCTGATGTGGTACTCCTATGCTTCTCTATTGCCAGCCCCATTTCGTTGCGCAATTGCAAAGCCATGTGGTATCCGGAGATACGACGTTTCTGCCCAGATGTGCCGGTCATATTGGTAGGCTGTAAGAACGATCTGCGTTATATGTATCGTGACGAAACGTATTTATCGTACTTTGGCGAGCGCAGCACCTTCGTGCGGTAAATTTGATTATTCGATAATATTCATTTTTGCTTTCAAAAAAACTAAAAAACTAATTCTATGATTAAACTTACAGTGCCGCACTCAAAAGTGACCTCGTCATGCCAGATGAGGCGCGTGCCGTTGCCAAGGAGTTGGGCGTTGCCTATTATGAGACGAGCGTTTTCACATATTTCGGTGTGAATGAAGTATTCGAGAATGCCATACGTTCGGCGTTGATTGCGCGCCGACAGCAACGTTTCTGGATGACAAATTTGAAGAAAGTACAAAAACCGTTGCTGCAGGCACCATTCCGACCGCCCAAACCGCCACCACCAGAAGTCACCGTAGTAGTGGGCAATTATAGACAAGATATGTATAATATGTTAATATCGCAAACCCACACGGATCTCATACTGGTGGTGGGTGCAAGTAAATTTCCGGTGCATCGGTTTATGCTCGCTGCTGCGTCGAACGTCTTTTATCGGCTATTGAATACAGAATTGACGGATATGGGTGGAAGGAGTAGTAGTGAATCGAGTATGGTGAGTTTGGAAGGCAGTGAATTGTGTTAACTTAAGGAAGTGGGAACAGTTAAAAAATAATGTTCGCTCTCATTTTATCGAATTTCACTGTAGCAATCATTGAAGGAACCAGATTTTTTTATAATATTCATATTTTTTATATATAAGCATCGCATGGCAAAAAATATCACTGGGAACAGTATTTGAAGAAAATTACAAAGAAACAGAATTAATTACATATTTAATACATTTAGACAGTAGTAATAAAATTCGGTTGATTGGTACTTAATTGGGAACAGTTTGAATTTAACTATGGAGTATTTTATATAGAAATTAACTATAAAAAGCATTTGTAAGTAATTTATAGAAGAGCATTAAATTCATGTGTGTGTTTAATGCGTTTTGGACAAAAAAATTAAAAAATTACTAACTTAAAATTAAGTGAGAACAGTTGCAATTTATGTTTCGTGTTTTATCGAACTTAACTGTTATAATGTCATCTTAGAATTAAGCTGTAGTCTGCAATATTTATAATATATACAGGAATCAAGAAGAATGGTGTCTGGGAACAGTTTAAATTCTTAACAGAATTACATAATTGAAGAGTTTTAGAACAAATGATGAAAAAAAATAAATTTATGAATGAGAAGTGGGTACAGTTACTATTTAATTTTGCGAATTTTTTGACGTACTCAAATGTAAAAATTGCATTACAAACGAACTTAAACACATTTTTTTAATATTAAAATAACCGCCAAGGATCATAAAATAGGAACGCTTAAATTCTGTCTATAAAAGGGAGGGAAAACACTTTTTTTAATCAAATTTGAGTCAATGAAGTACAAAAAGCAGCTTTTCAAGTGGTTTTATGTAAATTAAAATGCTTATAGAAGAAACAGTTTTTAAAGTAAAATAATAATAATTTTTACTACTTTCTTTTTTTGCTCTCTCTCCGTCTCTCTTAGGTGAGTTCCACATTCGGTGAAGCGACCACAGCGGACTTTAATGACGATACCGAATGTCTAATAAGACATGAGTCCCGTACACAGAGGTAAAACCTACGTATATAACATTATATCTCGATTTAAAACAACATGTCTTTCCTTAATTACAGAATGTGGGAACAGTTAAAACGTCGTTCCAGCTATCAGGCCTTACCACTAATTGAAACTAAAAAGCCAAGTGATCTCTATAAAGACCTGCATCATCCCATATTCCAAAATATACGCTTAGTGCAGATGGAGAATATGCGTGGCATTAATGTAACACAAACAATTGTCACATTGACAAAGCTCATAACGCCGCAAGCGTTACAACAATGTCTGCAATTTATTTATACCGGCACAATCGAAAGAGAATTTCATAATTTGCAGGTATGAAGATGCTGAGATTAGGAGAAAATAATGTTATAATTAAATTAAATTAAAATTTTTGTTAGAGATTTGGAAAATATGAAAATTTGCAGGTTACAATTTTTTATTAATTTTTTCCTTTGACTTTACTTCACTTCCACTAATTTAATTGAAGTTGTCTTGCATTTCATTTATATTTATCTCATTTTTAATTTATTTTTTCTGTATTACATTACTTTATTTTATTTAAGTTGACTTAATTTTTTGCATTTAATTCATTTAACTACTTGATTTTATTTTATTTATTTGTTTAAATATATTTAATTTTTTTATCTATTAAATATTATTTTCCTTTTTTATTGGATTTTATTTTCATTTTCATTTTATTTTATTTTATTTCATTTTCATTTTCATTTTATTTTATTTTATTTTATTTTATTTTATTATATTTTATTTTGTTTCATTTTATTATATTTTATTTTATTTTATTTTATTTTATTTTATTTTATTTTATTTTAATTTATTTCATTTTATCTTATTTTATTTTATTCTATTTTATTTTGTTTTGTCCTATTTTATTTCCGTATATTAAATGAAAACCCGTATCTTCTTCTAATTCACAGGAGATAAAACAAGCTGCTGATTTCTTAGAACTGCCTCAATTGACTGTATTACTTTCCAAGCCACAAACTCTTTTAGCCAGTCTAAACGATGAACCAAATCAACATTTTTGTCTTGTAAATGCGACATAATATTTACTTTATTCCTAAAATACCTATATTATACAATATTACATCCTTTCAGAGCATTAAAGAGAATATGGGCAAGCACTGTGTTGGTGATGGCTGCTTTAGTGATGTTACTTTCGAACTGGATGATGGTCAAATGAAAGCACATCGCGCCATTTTAGTTGCACGCTGTGATGTTATGCGCGCCATGTTAGCCGGTGACTTTCGTGAGGCGCACTCAAGTGTGGTGAGTACACGAAGCTGAAGTATTTCCACAACTTGAAGACAATAAAAAACAACTCATTTTTCTTTTCAGATCGTCTTTCCCGGCGTCACGATTTATACGTTTCATAAGTTGCTCTGTTATTTGTACACAGATGAAATACCTCCAATATCCGCAGATAAATGTTTAAATCTTTTAGAATTGGCAAATCGTTTATGTTTACCTCGACTATTGAATTTAGTCGAATGCCGTGTGATTGAAGACTTAACAATGATTTCGCAGAGCGAAACGAATGAGACGGTCGAACATTGTCTAAAGTTGCTCGAACCAGTGAAGGTGTGTGTAAAATATTCATAAACAATTTATTAAAATTACTAATTCTCTACACCTCCTCCATCCATCCATCAATTTAGCTGCACAATGCCCATCAACTAGCCGAATGGTGTATGTCATACCTGTGCGTCAATTACAATATAATTTGTAAATTCTCACTCAAAGGCCTCAAAGCGTTGCATCAGGATAATCAGGAGTATTTACGTGAACATCGTTGGCCGCCAGTTTGGTATTTAAAGGATTTCGATTATTATCAACGTTGCATAAATGAAATGAACAAAGAGTTGAAGAATTCGCGGCGTGATTCGCGTAGCGATGATGAAGGTTGCCTCTGTTTTACAGGTGGTAAGTGTTCAGGTAGTGTTATTAACAACAATAACAACGTATTACAATAATTGACTGTATGCAACAACGTACGTATGAGAAATTGACTGATGCAACAGCAACAACAATAACAACTGTACCAAGAAAATGTGTAGTGGGCTCAGCGGTAAAAAGAAAAAAAAATGAAAAAATATCGCTCATACATGCATATGTATGTACTTAACAGTGTTTTGATACTACACGTACATCAAGTAAATATTGAATTTCGTCGAGTGCACACTTTAAACTTTAAACGAATATCGAACGGAGTTTTATATATTATATATATTTTTTTATAAAACTTATAGTTTCATACTGCATTTGCAGATTTTTGTTTTTTCTACTTGCATACTCGTATAGCTTGGGTTTGTATTGTATGTATTTGGCATCACTGTCAGTCATTTAGACCCGCAAAAGTACACAAACAATATATAATATGTACATATATGTAGTACAATGAACGAATTAGCAGTGTATGAAAGCATATATCCTCCACATACATACATGTACCCCAAAAAATATGCCCTACAGGCATACACACAACGTACGTCAACGTTCATTCAATGTTCTTAATTTCAATGAAGTTTTAAATTAATTTTTTGATTGTATTTTACTTTATTTGTTGATTTATTTTATTTTCTATTTAATTTTATTTTATTCTCTCTTTATTTATTTTAATTTACTTCATTTATTTTATCTTATTTTATTTTGTTTTATTTCATTTAATACCCTTTAAATGCATTTCATTTTATTATGTTCCATTTCTTTTGTTTTTTTTTTTATTATATTATTTTGATTTATTTCAATTTCATTTATTTTATCTTATTTCCTTGTTGTTTATTTTATTTTATTTTATTTCTTCTATTTTATTACATTTTCTTTGGTATTTTATATTATTATTTTTTTGTTTTTATTATATTTCATTTTATTTTATTTTAAATTGTTTTTAATTGACTTTTTTATTTTAATTCAATTTAATTTTATTATTTCTAATTTATTTATATAGTTTTTTTATTTTATTTTATTTTCTTTTAGTCAATTTTTTATTTTTAATTATTTTTTGCTTATTTATTTTATTTTATCTTATTTCTAATATCAATTCTTTTATTTTCTTCATTATGTTTTATTACTTTTTTATTTTTTTCATTTTGTTCTAATTTATTTTATTTCCTTTTGATTCATTTTATGTTTATTTATTTTAATTTGTTTTATTTAATGTTATTTCGGTTTATTATATTGTATTTCATTTTAAATTATTTTTTATTATTTCATTCTATCATAAATTTTATTTTATGTTATTTTACTTCATTTTAATTTTTTAGTCTATTTCATTTATTATTTTATGTTTTTTTTATTTTCCTTAATGTTTTTTTTTCATATTTTTCTATGTTTTATTATTTTAGTGTATATTATTTTTTTTTTAAGTATGATATAATTTTTTAATTATTTTTTGTTATTTTATTTCATTTAATTTTTTTTAATTTTATTTTGTTGTATTGAATTTTATCTTACTTTCTTTTGTTTTAATTATTTATTTTGTTATTTTATTTTACTTTTTATCTTCTATTCTAATTTAGCTAATTTTTTTTAGTTATTATATTTTTCTATATTTTATTTTTTATTTTTTTTTTTTATTTTTTTATGTTAATTTATTTTATTTTATTTTATTTTATTTTATTTTTTTTTATTTTATTTTATTTTATTTTATTTTATTTTATCTTATTATTTTTATTTTATTTTATTTAATTTTATTTTATTCCTTTTTTTTAATTTAAAATTTTGTTTCGTTTCGTTATATTTAATTAAATTTTATTTCGTTTTATTAAAGTTTATTTGCTTTTCTTTTGTTTTCATTATATATTTTTTTTGTTGATTATTTTGTTTTATATTTTTATAATTTGTTTTATTATATTTTATATTATTTCATTTTCTGTTTTTTTAATTTATATTATTTTAATTAATTAATTTTTTTTTATCCTGTCTAAATATTTTACTTGAATTCTCATCTAATCTTTCCTTAAATTGCTTGATGCTTTTCTTGCTTCTGTAAGATTTTTTCTACTTTGAGAAATTAATTTTTTTCGTTATTTATTATGCCGTTATTTCAAAATTTTCTCTGCTAAGTTTCATTTACAACTCAATTTTCCTAATTACAATTATGAAAATCATGCGCTCCCAAATAATCTCAATCATACCAGCCTGCTACATCGTAACAGCTTGCAGCACTCTTTACAACCAACCACTCTACCAAGACCCAGACATTATATACCTTAAAAAAAATTACATATACACATAAACATACTCACACATACACGCATACAACACCTACACCAACTCCTCAATGCAAATCATGCACTGTTTTATTAATATTGAAATTTGGACAAAGTGTTCTCTTGGCTATTAGGCAGCAACGGTGGCGGCAAATCGAAGAGGATCACTGATCCCAATAGCAATGGCGGCGGCACCGGTGATCATAGTACAACAGATAATCAAATATTTAACAGCACAGCGAATTCGATGAATCAACTGGACTTGGAGGCGGCTGAAGTGGATTTGAATCTCTGACATCCAGCCATCGGGCATAGAAGGTGAGTTTGTTTGTTATGTTTGGTGTTTAATAAGTAATATAAACGATTTTTATTTTTCTTTGTAGATCACTGCGTTTCATAGTGATTTTGCCCGTGCTGATTTGTTTCATTTGTACGATTTTAAGTATTTTAATACTTTTTCAAATTTATACATAACAATACCATAATTGTTATATACATAATGCCGTGGAAGCTGAAGGTAGTACCGGTATGCGAAATCGGAGCCAACTAGTGCAGCAGCAGCAACAACAGCAACAACAAGAAGAACAACATGTACCAGCAGAAGAAAAGCAAGAAGAAGCAGTGCGATGGGCGAAAGCACAGGCGAAATTGGCCACAAATGTGCTTGAGCAAGAGTAAATGGATGACAGTTACAACAACCACAAATACATAAAGAAAAAACAATTACAATTAAAACAATTAAATCACTTTAAAATACCGCAAACAGTTATGTATGTACAATACTAACAACAAAGTCAAGAAATAGCAACATTTGTTTTATATATGTATTTAATTAGAAGCAATGAAAAGTGCTTGCCGATAAGCAAATGAAGAACTTTTTCCATAAAATAAAATCAGTTATTTTTCGCATACATATATAAGGCAAACAATAAACATTTTCGAAATACCAGCTTACGCAATTAAAGCCTTGACATCGTGCTGATTCAAAAAACAATTTGCAATTAAATTTCTTTAATTAAACACAACAATAAATGGGATCAATTACCAAAATGAAAATAAAAACAACACCAGTAAAATATGAGCAATATACTTATATACTTAGTATGTATATGTATGTCTACAAGAAACAAAAAATATATAAAAATCAGTGAAAAAACAAACAAACAAGCAAACCAAATGGTTTTTGCCGTCAACACCAACACCAACTCACGCCCAGCTCCAAAAATTCAACAATAGCTTGTATGTATGTATGTGGAATGTAATAAATATAGTTAAAGAGAAAAAAGTAAAAATATGATTATGTACTAAAATTGTGGTAAAGCGTTAAAAATAAAATAGGGAAACTGTTGTGTCTAGCCATTAGTCATGTAAGCGATACACAAACACAAACAAACAAAGAAAAAATAATTAAGCGATTAAATCATAATAACAATATAACACACTATATACATATTAGCTATAAAAAAAAACCAATACAGCAACAAAACATTTAAACATTTAATAATTATAATGACTAGTGAAGCATATAAAATATGGCGGAGAAAATTAAAAAACTAAACAAAAATTGAAATTTAAATAAATAAAAATAAAATTAATAAATAAAATTAATTTTAATATAAAATTAATATTTAGTGCCAGCCAGCCTGTAACACAAAAACCAAACATGAGCAATTCTTTAGTTTAGATACCATAAATACACAACGTATATATATATATGTATATAAACTATGTACATGTAGGAATTTAAATACACATACATGCATAAATTACAATAAAAAATCTATAATAAAAGAAAAAGTATTACATACAAACAATTTTATGTTCAGCGCTAACATAAAGAACCTAAAGCCTTTAGTGTGATTTATAAAAAAAAAAAAACAAAAAAATAAAATAAAAATGGCGTCAAATTGGTTTTGAATAATTTTCGTATAAGCATAGTGCCTAAAAATATGCTATAACTAGTGCGCTATATCAAAATTCTATATAAAAAAATTATAAATTTTTTTTTATTGCCGATTTAACACGAATTTTTTTCTCATTACTTCCACTGGCATTTTAAAATTCGTAATCAGGAGAACACCTGAATTCGATTCAATTTATCTATTTGTATGTATTTTATGTACATATAGGATTTGCACACTAAGTATGGCAATAAATTTATGTATGTATGTATAAAACAGCTTTTGATACGATTTGCATATGTGCACACCGATTATTAGATCAAAAAACGTCATAACTCAAAATTTTTCAAATATTCAAGAGAGTCAAAAATCCAGTTGACACAGTTCAAGCGACGCAAGGTAGCATGACAACACGTACATATGTAAGGTGAAAATACGCAAAAGGGTATTTTTCCAATAAATAAAGACTGTGATTTAAAAAAAAAAAACTGTGCGTTTGTTGAAGAAATGTTCTGTGAATTGGTTTATGGAAAAGAAATGATTTCGAAAAATTTTGAGTTGTAATACTTTTTAAATTAAGGTGTATGTATGTATATGTATGTACATATGTACATAAATATCATAGATAATTGTTCTCTATATTTTTGCATTTTCCTGCTGTTTTCATTTTTAAAATACAGAATGCAAATTTTTACTAAATTTTATGGCAGTATATGCTTTGTAAATATCGCACACTTAATCAAAAAACGTCATAACTCAAAAAATCCCAAATTTTTAGCAGACACGAAAACCCAATCGGCGCTGTTCAAGTGACGTATGTAAGGTGAAAACACGCATAACGGTATTTTTCGAGTTTAGAAAGACTGTAATTCAAAAAAAAAAAATATGCATTTGTTGTTGAAGTGTTTTATGGCAAAGAAAAGTGAATTTTCAAAACTTTTGAGTTGTGTAGTTTTTTTTTGATTTAGTGTACGATATGTATGAATGTACATATGTATAAAGAGCTACCTACAATGCTCTTATGTAAGTCATTTTTTCAACAAGCCTCTTATACATATAACAAACAGCTAAAAATTAATAAAAATTTTATCAAAATCCACACACATTTTTAAACATTAAAATCAAAGCACAAAGCGGAGTTGCCGGAACCTAGTCAATCTGCCCAAAATCCTTAAAATTTAAAGTCAAATAAAAATTAAATAAAAAAAAATTTGAAACTATTTATAAAATAAATGAAAATAAAATAAGAAAAAAATAATAATAATAATAAAATAATAAAATACATATATTAAAAATAAAAATGATTAGAAATAATCAATAAAAACTTTCCTCAAAGAAATTTATATATATGTATATATAAGTTTCAATAGCATTAATAAAAATAAAAAAAAATTAATAAATTCAAAAATATACATATTATTATTATATATAAACAAACAGCATGCACACAGCATAGTTTTAAAACAGTTTATATATATGTATATATAAGTTTCAATAGCATTAATAAAAATAAAAAAAAATTAATAAATTCAAAAATATACATATTATTATTATATATAAACAAACAGCATGCACACAGCATAGTTTTAAAACATATAAAAATAAAATTAATAATTAATAAATTAATAAAAATTATTATAAAAAACGAAGTGAAAAAAACGGCTGGTTACTGACACAAATATGAATAAATTAAGTAAATTGTAGTAACAAAAATAATTAAAATTAAAATTAAAAACTAATTATAATTAAATGCGCGCGTCTATTAAAATCACGTTTTATTAAGTGCTGCTGTATGCTATGTATGTTATAATGTATGAAGTTAAACCAGAAGACTGCTTTCAGCTATAGAAATTAAAAAAAAATAATTAAATTAAATTAAAAATAAATAATTTTTTTTCTCTGCTTTTATGCTTGTGTCAGCAATCAGCTGCATAAAATGCAACAAAAAAGCTAAGCTTTTAATTTACGTCCATACACACATAGATATGAGGTATGAGCGCGTAACCTTTCAATCAATGAACCAATTTTCACACACCCACACACCAATACACATTTCATCGAAAATTTCATACAGCCTAGCAATAAGAAAAAATATTAATATATAAACTAAACAACTGTAGTACATACAAATATATTAGTTTTAATATTAAAAATAAAAAATTAAATAAAATATAAAATATACATACAAATATATGTATTTAACATAGCAGTATATAAAATTAAAATTAAAATTTAATGAGAAACAATTAAATTAAAATATTTTTAGCGCATATTTTTGTATTGTATAAAATTAATTAATTACATAATTTCCTCTCTTTCGTTCTTTACTACGTATTGATTTATGAAAATTCGTACTACAAAAAGAAAAAAGCAAAAAAAGAAAAAAAAACAAACAAAATTGAACTTTGAACTTATGAAAGTAAGCAAATTAAAAATTAAAATTAAAATAAAAAATTATTATATTATTATTAAACTATAAAAAAAAGAAATATACAAATTCAAATTTTTTGCAGTATGAAAGTGAAATATCTTTAAATTATGTATGTGCATACATACATGTGCAATAATAAATAAAAATTATAAAAAACCTAATATAATATGGAAAATTTGAAAAAAAAAAATTGTTTAAATTTTTATTCAATTAAAGGGTGTTTTTTATGACATATGGTTTTCCGGAAAAAATGAAAAGCATCCAATTTAATGTTTTGATCAAATAACAAATATTTGGCTCTGTTATAAAGATAATGGTTGGCCATTATGTTTTAAAAATAATTTCGAGCAAGTGACCGCCACGGCTGGCTCGTGCAAAATTATAGCCGTCCACATTTCGCAGCAATCTCAGCAATATAACGCGTCGAATATACTCTTCCGAGACTTCAATCCCCTGAGGCTAATTTACGTAGACCAGAGACGTTAGAAAACACCACGAAAAATAGGCCAGCGGTATGAAGTCGCACAACCCTACGACGTGGGTTAATGCGTTCACCAAAGTTTTCCTGCAATAAATTGATTGTTTTGTTGACTGTTTGCCATGTAGCGCCGTCTGGCACGAAAAAGTCTCTAACCATGGCTCTATAACGTTCCCCATTGACTGGAACATTACGGCCGACTTAATTTTTGAATAAATATGGAACGGGTGTTGATGTTATTGTTGTTGTAACGATTCTCTAATCCCACTTAGGACCGTGATCATTGGCCATTTCGTTTTGCGGTCATGCTCATGCTAGATATGGTCACTCGGCTTCAGTTCTTTGCACGCGTAGGATTTTGTGAGCCCGCAAACCAAGATCCTTCCGCAATTTTTTCCATAAATTGGATGAGCAAAGCTCCCACTGTAGCACGCGTTTAAGTCAGCAGGTTAATTTAGTTTATTGGCATCAATGAACCAAAACTTTAAAGCAGGAGTGCTTCCAATGCTTCTCAGCAAAGCTGTCGTCACACTTAACTCTTGCATTACGGATTACCCTTGCTACGTTTGCCAAAAACAACTGCATCATCATCTATTTTTAGTTGAATGCAATTAATACAATAAATGAGACTTATAGGGAATGGACCATGCTTTATGTACTGCCAGTGCTACGGCCGCCTCGGCACTACTACCCATTCTTGGTAATCATTGACAGACCTGCACCATGGAGCTTCCGCAGCATGACTCCTGGCTCTAACTTTTACTCCAACCCCCACTTACATATAGCGTAAGGCGCTGATCAGGAGCAGTATCTCTTTGTATGTCTAATAAAAGCCTCTCATCTCACAACCCTGCATCTCTAATCGGAACATAAAAGACCTCAACGACATCGACTAACTTTTCCTGCCTTTTAGCTCCTACAACAATAGCAATAGTCGCGTAGTTAATGTCTGATTCATAGTCCTGTAAAAGTTTGCCTAGGCGAATTTAACGTAGGTGCTTCCAAATAGTACAGTACAATTTGTGTTCAATTTTAGTTTTATTTTAGTTTACTAAAATCATTCAAATTGCCAAAGTAATACATATAAATAAAGCATGAATAAAAACAAATTTTTTAATAACAGTTTTTTGTGTTACTTTCGAGTATCAATGTATGAATAATAAACGTGAAATTAATCTTTACACAATCAGTCTCATTTCTACAAATATATATATATGTATTTTGAACAAAATTCTGATTTGAAAACATTCACCCTAATTTAAAAACAATTAAATAGATAAATTAATTGAATTCTGACTATGTAAATTAACTAGAAAATTAATATCATTAAAAAACTGGCATTTCGCAAGTCCATTATTCATTGACAACTGTGCGCACGCTCGCCTCACTTTTTCTCGGCGAATTATCTTCCACCTCAAGTCCTTCGAGCATAGCTAAAAGTTCTTGATCAGTTATTTTCGAAGTAGTACCCCGGTTAATTGAAATTGTGGATGCTTTTCCATTATCATTTGCATTTGTTTGCGTTGGACGAACAGGCGTTTGACCAGTTTGGCCAAGTATTTGTTGTAGTTCACGTTCCAATGCATCATTGTCATTAAGATCAGCCCCACCAGTGGCAATGTCCGACAAACCAGCATTAGCCAGTGTATCTTGCAACTCTTGATGTGTTTCCATTGTATCACGAACTTCGGCAATAACCTCATCGACATTGTCATATTTGAGGCCAGAGTCGTTGAGCGCTTTTTGTAAAGCTTTCGAGCCAATCTTGTAAGCGTCGAGTATTTGTCCATGACTTTGTGCCTCATCTACGCTAGTTATGAGGGATTCAATGTTGTGAAGTGCAATGCTACGCTTTTCTGTAAAAATGTATTATTATTATAATTTTGCTTATTTATTTCATTTTTACGCAACTCACCATGATTTTTTTCCATCAAATGTTTTTTACGCAAATATGTTTTGGCCAGTTGGCGTTTATTTTCTTTTACATATTGACGTGCTTTTTCCTCATTCTCCCTCATGTCCTCCTCTAAGTTTTCTAATTGTTTCAACAAACTGACTTGAGTCATTTTCAAATTGTGCACGGCACGATCAGTCTCGGTAATGGCAATGTTTGCATCATTTTTCGCTGTGAATGGAAGTTTTTAGTAACGTGTCGTCATATTCTCGTATTTAAACTCACCAGGTATTTTAATTAAATGTATTTGCTGCTCTTGATCTTCTACTTTGAATTCTAAGCCAACTTTCCGTTGACAGTGCAACACATGCAGACATAAAAGTAAGCAATCTTCTTTTAGCGTCAAAGCAGCATCCGCAAGTTTTTTAAAACTCTCATAATGCAGTAATTCACCTTGGTGTTGTTGTAGCAAGCTTTGCTGTATTTGTTTGCAAAATTTCTATTAAAAAACAAAAAAAAAAATTATATTAAAACAAGTATTTCAACCAAATTACAATTTGCATGTGCTCACCTTCATCACCTCCAAGTGTACATATTCCAGTAAACCTCTATCCCTTTCTACTTGTATGCCTATTTTGCTCTTCAGTGTTTGCCAACCCCATGATATGGGGCGCTTTACAAAACTATTCACCGCCCAACCGCTCCATGTATTTTCAGGGTCATATTCGAAATCAGCACGGGTACGTATTTTCTTGGTGTACAACATCTCTGAGAGTACTGTATCCAAGCCGTAAGGTATTCGATCACCACGCGCAAATGTTAGCTGAAGATCTCGTTTGCAAAAGCATCCACTGCCTTCGTGCTCACAATATTGTGATATCATATCTTGCCAAAATTTCATTTTCGAATCATAATTTTCAGGATTTACTTCTCTATTTCGAAATGGTGCTAAAAGCACATTCATACGCACATCATCGTTCCAACAAGCAGGATAAGGAAAACTTCGACTGTCATCTGTGTTGATCGAATCCTCTGCTCTGCTCGAGCTGCTGTTATTGGCATTTTGGTCCTTAGTTGGCGTACGTAAAGGTGTTGAAGTAGCAATCGACATTTAACTGGTTGAAGACAAATTATAAAACTGTTTTGTTGACAAAAAAAATTACTAATTGCGCTTTGTTTAATTTATAGGGAATTGCGTGCTCACTGTGTAGTGTTTATTTTTATTCAACTGACACAATTATTTTAAAACAACCAGAGTTGTATTTCAAAGGTATTAGAATTTAAAACTAGTAAACATTTAACAAAACGTAAGTTTCTCTATAAAATAGCTATTACAAAATTTTCCTTACCCTGAAGTTTTTTGATCAAACAGGAATGAAATAGACATAATAATATGTACATAAGAAAATAGTTTGAATTTATTCTTTCCGTTTGAAAATATAGGAAAATTTAAATCTTAATTTACTATAATCCCGCGAGTTACTTTCGGGTAACCCTGTGCAATTTTTATTCTCCCCTGTGGAGATAAAAAACGATAACAAACTGACCAAATGATAATCTGTCAAATTTGGGAGAATTGTCATCTTTGGAAAATTCGTGGGTGCGAGCGAAAACGTTAAATAGATGTGAAAGTTTTTGTTTCGGTGGTGAAAAAATACTATTATTTGTAGAAAATTTAAAATCAACAAATAAATCACTATCGACACAAATCAGCTCTTACTTCTCAACAGCCACCAAGGACAACCTTGAAACTTTTTATGTGCACCGATCAGCTAAATCCTTTTATGTACAATAAACATACAAAACTAGAAGACAATCTACCGCCATACGCATATCCGGATGTCGAGCAACAAGAAAACCGAAAAGCAAAATAAACACTGGGGTACACATCAAAGCAAAACACGCCACGCTGACTCACTAAGTCATTTCAGTTAATTGTTGATAAGGCTCGTACCATCACATTTATGTGCAAAATAAATTTCTGAAGTGCTCTCATATGTATTCATACCACTTGAATTGGAGATCATAAAAATAATTTATACATAAAATATAACGAGTGAATTGTGCGCGATAATTTACAATCTATGAAATTTCAATTTAGCTTGTGATTTGCTTGTGACTTTTTGAACCTGCATAAATACATACATATATACATACATACATGCATAATACGTCAACAAAACACTTTGTAATAAACGCACATCTGTTTCATTAGCTACGACGTCATCAGTTTGTGCGGTATTCATTACCCTCCTACATACATATAACTGCGTACATAAATTTTTTTTACATTTGCATTATAAATATTACCTCACGCCGGTCGGAGAGAACAAAGGTCAGACCAGGTAGTTAGGTGCAGTTCAATTGTTTGCCTGCTTGCCAGCAAAATGCAAGACGACAAGATGCTACGATCGCAATTGGCTAAAGGTAAGCATTTAAAAAGTATGTATCAACAATAAAACAAACTTTTTTTTTTTGACAAAATTAAAAGTATTGCCAATGAATATTTATTTTATTTGAAGTATTTTAGAAGGTGACGGTAGTGAACGCCTAAAAATAGGCTGCGAAAATTTTATGATTAGCTAACATACTTCTTATAACTCCTAAAAGTAGGCAACAAAAATAGGCATTGATAACTGATGAAAGTCCTGAGATGACAGGTGTTTTTTTCCCTTTGTAAGAAGATGTCAAATATGAATTTTGAGATTCGTGAAAAAGCCTGAAACAAATGACAAAAACAGTCATAAGCATTTAAGATTTTTTTTTTTAATTTTATCATTATTAATTATTTCTAAATTCACAGAAAAGTATTAACCATTTGGGAAGCTTTCTCAAAATGTACATACAGACCAATACTGGCTGTTTTTACAGCAACATAGTATGTACGGAATACTAATTTAAAAAAATTGTGAGAAATTTTAACATTCATTGAACTTTATTTTGAATACGAAAATATGTATTAACGCCTTTCGAATACTGATCTCAACAATAATTGTCTGGTCCTGAGCTTATTTTACTTCTAATTTTTTGCATTTTTCAATATCTTGATTTGAAGAAAAAATTTCCAAATACCTTTCAAGTGTCCTTTTAGTGAATACAATTTACTTATGTACATACATACCTATATAAATACTGTTCAGCAATTAATTTAGATATTTATCTTTCAAAAAAAAATACATACATATATGTAAATGTATTGTCTAAACGTCAAACATGCGTCAAATGTGAAAATCTTTCAGAAATCCGCAAAAAATATAAAAAAAATAAAATGAAGCGTCTGCTAAGTATGGCTTTGTACACGCATATTCGTACATTAATACATACATACACATATGAAGAAATATTAAATGAGTCAAACTATCGTATGATTTTATCACGCTACAGCACACATGAGCGGCGTTATATGATGATTAGATAAGCAGTGTACTTTTGTAATATGTAAATATTTATAAAATACGGTGAGAGGAAGATTTTAAATTCGCATTTCATATACTTACGCATTAGTTTTACAAATTGAAAAAAAAATAAAATAAAATAATAATAATAATTGCTAACTTAAGCGATTGTTTTTCAGCTCGTTTATAACTTTTAGGCAAAATTTTGAAGATTTTTCGCACAACAAATGACACGTCTATATGTATCATATGTATGTGTGTATGTATTTGTATTTTTGTGTTTTGTTGTTTTTTTTTTGTGCAAAAACATTAATTTCAAGGAATGACTGGCCTTCATTCGGTGTATTTCGTATCAACAGAATTTTACCAGACAATTTTATTTGTAAACAATAACTCAGCATCTTTTGTAAAAGTAATATGTATACATATGTATGTGTTTTTTTTTATTTTATTTTATTTCATTTAATTTTCTTAAGTGATTGACTGCTTACGAAACAGTAAAACCAAACATAGTTTAATTTAAAAAAAAAAAATATTACTTTTTGCTTGCACTAAAAAATTGAAAAATTGTATGATATTTTGTAAAAAATAATTAAATAAATTCATAAAATTCTAAAAAATGTTTCAAAAGGTGCTAACAATATTCGATTTATTTAATGTTCTATCCATACTTTTTTTTAATCCAATATGATGCATTTAAAATGCTTACAAATATTAGGTTGGTAGCGTGAATGTCTTGCGGCGCGCCTATGTCTTTAGGTCTTTAGGAAGCTCATTGTGATTCCACCTAATGTGTGTGTCCTCTATGAACCACCTTAAACTATATACTTTAATATATATTTCAAAAAATCTTAAAAAACGTGACATTCGCATGGGACAGATATTTTCTGGTTAACAATTTAAGCACCTTTTTAGCCAAACCTGAAGGAAATATTCAATGCCGTCAATTTCAAAATATATGTTTTGATTTTATCAAACTACCAGCAGACCCGGACACATATTTTTGTGGCTTCCTGTCAATCTGTCTGTGATCTCTTTGCCGTAGAGAAATTATTATTTATATTTCGAGGAAATCTAGCTAAACTCTAAGGTCTCTGGTTCATTTCCTGAAAGCAAAAGTTTTCCATTTGGGAAGAACAGTATTCCTAAGCTAAGTAAAAAGCGATCTTTTTACCGAATTTCAGGTAAATCGAAGCATTAAAAAAAATTTTTGCAAATATGTCACCGTAAAAATTTTGTCTTACAAATCTTTTTAGAACCCTAGCAGCAAACTGACAAATTTTCAGTATAATCTGTTGACCAAAAAACAAACATACAAAGAAGATATGTAAAAGGGATATTTTTTATTGTTTATTTTGGATTCTTCAACAGAACTACTTTTTTTCAGAGAAACCCATTAAAAGGTAAATCATTTTCGAGCAATAAAAATATTTAGAATTTTAAGAATTCTTTTTATTTTATTTTTAAAATCTTTAGTTATGTCTTTTTTTTCAAACAATCATACGTACATCATGTGATCATGTAAATGCATTGCATCGTCTGTATTACTCGTACGTACCACTGAAGAGATAATGAAATTTGAAAATTTTTTGAACTTTGACCATTTTTTGTGATGACAAACACAAGAAGTGCATACATACATATATACATACATACATATGAACATATGCATATGTGTAATATAACCGGCATTGGTGACTGGTGATTGCGCTTTAGATACAAAACATTTGATATTTTACATAAAAATTGTATGTAATGTAAACTTGTTCATAGTCATACATACATATGTACATTCATATATACTTATGCATGCTGCAGTGTCGCGATAAGAATTGTTTGACGATTAATAACGAAATTTTTCTTTAATTCGAAAAAAAATTCAAAATTCATTGAAGCTTGAAAAATACGCTTATCTAAAAAAAAAGATTCCTTTTGCATAGATTTAAAACATTTTTCTTATATATTTTTTTTTATTTATTTAAAAAAAAAGAAGTATTGCATGGTAACAAGTATTTCTAGAGATGCACTATTTTGTCCTCTGCGCCGCAGCGCTTATCATGAGCGTGTTTTATAAGATTTAGTTGCAGGCGTAGAATTTAAAAAAAATATAATAATATTAAAATAAAATAATATAAAAAAAAATTAAAAAAATATTAAAAATTTTAATTAGTTTTTTTTCTATGTTACCACGCCTACACGCGAATTCTATAGCACATCCTGTCGATAAGCTCAGCGACACTGAGGGCAAAATAATGCTGATTTTCACGTGTATACTTGTTTTCTTTGCATGAAAGCTGAAAGAAATTTTGGTTAATTGAGTTAAACTGTCAGCGGAATATTTCGCAAATCGTCTTATCTCCCACCAAACAATGTTTAATAAATGATTAGCAGCAGAAATGTACACCCAGCAAGGGGCTGATGCTCTTTTTTTTAAACAAATTTTTAAAATTTCAATTTTCTGTTGTTTATTTTCTTGTTTTATTTTAGTGTATTGGTTTTCTTTTAATTAGTTTAGCTGTTTATTGTTTTATTTAAATTTTTTTTACGCATTAAGCTTTCTAACTGTTTTATTTTGTTTAGTTTTTCATAATTATTTATTTAATTATTATTTTACTTTTAATTTTGTTGTAACTTTTTATTATTATTTTTTTTTTAATTTTGTTGTAACTTTTTATTATTATTTTTTTTTTAATTTTGAATTTACTTCATTTATTTTTAATTAATATTTTAATTCATTTAAATTTATATGTTTCTATTTTTAAGCTTAATGCATTTATTTTATATTTTTATTTTACTTTTTTATTACTCTTTGTTTTATTTTTATTTATTTTACATTATTTGATTTTACATTTATTTTTATATGTTTTTTGTCCTTATATTTATTTATTACGTATTTTGTATTTTATTTGTCTGAATTGTTAATTTAATTTTGATTTTTTTTTAGTTTTTCCCTTTTTTGATTTTTATTTATGTTATTTTTATTTCTTTTTCTTTTTTTTTTACACTTAATTTATTTTTCCAGTTTTTCAATTTTTATTTATTTTATTTATGTTTATTTTTTTATGATATATTTTCTTTTATTTTTTAATTCATTTATAATATATTTCTTATTAAACTTTTTTTTATCTTTGTTATTTTTAAAATAAGTTATTAGTATTTCTTGTTTTATTTTATTTTTATTTATTTATTTTATTCCATTTTATTCTCTTTTTTATTTTGTTGTTCTATTTTATTTTATATTAATAACTTTATTTCCTTTATTTATATATTTTAATTGTTTCATTTGATTTTATTTATTGTTTTTACTTATTTTATTTGTACCTATTCCAGCTCACATTTTTTTCTTATCTTATTTTATTTTTATTTGTTTTATTTGCCTTTGATTTATTTAATTTTTATTTATTGATTTATTTTTTATTCCATTTTATTTTATTTTAAATGATTTTATTTAATTTTATTTAGTTTATTTCTATATTTTAAATGTTTCCTTTGGTTTTATATATTTTTTGACATATTTTATTCTAATTAATTTAATTTGGCATTTATTTATTTTTTTTTTGTCTTATTTTATTTTATTTTATTTCTTCCTTATTTATTTTATTTGATTTTAGTATGATTTATTCAATTTTATTTTATTTCTATTTGTTTTATTTTATTTTAATTTTTTAGTTTACATATTCCAATTTATTTTATTTTTAGTTTGGCTTTTTTTTTATTCCATTTTTTTTAATTTCAAGTTTTCTCTTTTATTTCATTTATTTATACATTTATGTTTAATTTTTTTTGTACTATTTTATTTTAATTTATTTCTTCCTTATTTATTTTGTTTGATTTTAATATGTTTTTTTCCATTTGGTCTATTTTATTTATTTATTTTTTTATTAATTTTTTATTTTAATTTATTTTGTTCCTTTTTAATTTTTTTTTAATTTGCTTGTTTTACTTATTCCAGTCTTAATTTATTTAATTCATTTTATTCTTTAAGTTCTTATTATATTTGTTTCGTTTGATTTTGTTTCAAGTTTTTCCTTTTATTTATTTAATTTC